GAGTTGGCAGAATGGGGAAGAGCAGGAAATGACATTGAGCTGTGAGCTCTTCACGGGGATGCTGTGTCTGTGGGGGCAAGCTTGTGACTGGCACCACAGTGCTGGCTTTCAATAAAAGTTGTGGCATCAATGAGCTTATACAAGGTGGAGGTGAGCTGCTGTTTATTTGAAAATTTTTAAATATTTTCTTTTAAAGTGATTTTATTTTAAGTAAAATAAAAAGATTTTATTTAAAATTTTAAATTAAGAGGTCCTGTTGTTGAAGAAGTATACTATTTCAAACTTTTTTGCAGGGTGAATTTTCTTGACCTGGACTTCATCATGAATTTTAAAGAAATGGCATTAAATTTTTTAAAGATTTTACTTACTTTTAGAGAGAGTGGAAGGGAGGGAAAAAGAGAAGGAGGGAAACAGCAACATGCAAGAGATACATTGGATTGGTTGCCCCTCTTGCATGTCCCCAACTGGGACCTGGCCTGCAGTCCAGGCATGTGCCCTGACTGGGAATCAAACCGGTGACCTTTCAGTTCACAGGCCACTCAATTCACTGAGCCACACCAGGCAGGGCGAAAAAATTTTTAGTAGCTATCAGGAAACATGCCTGGGTTGTGGGCCAGGTCCCCAGTAGGAGGTGTAGGAGAGGCAACCACACACTGATGTTTCTCTCCCTCTCCTTCCTCTCTTCCCTTCTGACTAAAAGTAAACAAATAAAATCTTTAAAAAAAGAAAGAAAGAAAGCATGAGTGGTGAGGTGGCCATTATATTGTGGGTCAGGGTTTGAATTGCTTACAGTATCTTGGATGCTGTAGCTCATGGCTGGTTGGTCTGTCCCTAAGTCCATTTGTCCATCCATCCACCTATTCATGTTTGTCCCGTGGGAAGACATTTTATTACTTACCAGCAGTGTGGGCATTTATCTCACATGGACTCAGTTTTCTTATCTATAGAATAATGGGTTTTGTCTAAGTTATATAGAGGGTCCCTTTTTAAGTCCTGGATTCTTGAGATTCTCACAGTTTGATTGTGTAAGACATTGGAAAGAATACAGGCTTGAATTAAACATGGATCCTGCCTCCAAAAAGCTCGAGGCCTGGCGGGTGTACTGACTTATAGCGGGCTAGCAATAATGCGACTGGAAGTGGCCGGGAACTCAGCACGGCTGCAGTGAAATTGGAAGGGGATTTAGAGAAGGGGGAGATTATTTTTAGCTGCAGTGTGAAGGAGGTTTTGGGGATTGGGAGAAGGTGGCATTTAATTTGAGTGGAGGGAAGTAACATCTTACGTTGATGAGTATCGGTTATCATCCTCGTCTCATTTAAAGTTCACAACTGTGAGATAGGTTTTATTATCTTCATTTAGTAAATGACGAAACTGAGGCAGAGAATGAGATTAAGTAATTTGTCCAAAGTCATCTGGCTGTTACTGGTAATCAGTAATCGGCAGAGCTGTGGTTCTGGAGGAGGTCTGTTAACCCCTCGTTATCCTTATGTGGTAAAGGTTGAGTCAGTAAAGAGATGAGGACGCCTCAGATGAATAAAAGACCATCCGCACTGGCTGGCCAGGTGCCCAGGGCCTGCATCCTTGAGCAACAGCAGGGACGTCAGGGGGCCTGGGACTCTGCACCTAGTGGTAGGAACAGCCTGGCAAGGCAGCCTGGGCTTTGAAAGGAGAGGCTCTCCAGGCCTGGTTACAGGATCTGGCCTTTGTGAGGCCTAAACGGAGATTTTGTGCAGGAACGGCCGTGATTAGAGGAGTGCATTTCAGGATGTTTATGACTGTAAGGCCTTCTTCTGATTCTAAAGTACTTTCATGTAATTCAGCAATTTGGTGTGATGCTGAGAAAACTCCTCCCCAGTGTCTGCTGCGGTCAAAGCCTCTGAGAGTTTCATCCGGGCTTTTGTAATGAATAGCACCCAGCCCGGGCTCCACCGTCCTGCCATTCTGAACGTCAGCACTTAAAAAAAAAATCCCGGCTCAGTTCTCTGGACTTTGAGAAGAAAATGCCTTAATCTTCCCCCTCTTTCCTGTCCTCTCTATTTTAACCTGTTTTCTGCTATTTCAAAACGTACTGCTCAATAAACAAATAATTAGCCCTCCTTTGGCTTTGCTAGTGAATAATATACCATAATGTTTAGATTAAAACAGTGTAGCAGCTACACTAGAAAAAATACATCCCAGTTACATGATGAATTCCTCATTTTCCTTTTTATTCGTGGTGTCCTGGGGTGGCCTGCTGGAGGAAAAAAAATACTATTTGATTCTCCCTGGGTGGTCAGACAGGACTTGTAAAGACTCTTGTTTGTTTTGTGTTGAGCCTTCAAAGGCACGCAGGCTTCCCTACATAAAGATGTTCTAAAAAAATAGGGATTTTTTTTGAAGTTGCTATGTTTAAAGGGAAATTCAGAGCAACCATCTTCCTTAGAACTAGGAGCTAATGTGATCGAGGGCCCCTTCTCACCAGGCGGCTTTGTCGTTTGTATCTCTGGTCATTACCGTCGGTCCTACGGGGAAATTGTGTTATAAAAACGATCTCCACCTGTGTTGTTTTTTAAACCATCACACAAACATGTACTTGGATTTCTAAAACCACATTTATTATTGTGCATATTTAGATTTTTTTAAGAGCTAAGAAATCTGAGTGGGGTGAGGAGTGAGGGAGTGGGGAGAGAGAGGAAGGGAGGGAGGGACCGGGGGAGGGAGGGAGAGAAGTATTCAGGGTACTCTGGAGGTATGTGGTCTCCAGAAACATGCTCCAGGCCACGTGTTCTGCACATTCCAATTAGTCAGGCCCTCCTGCTGTGGTGTGGGAGAAAAGTTTGGATTGGGGTTAGGGCTGGCTAAATGTAGGCTACTCTTTAATGCAGTCTTTCCAGAACCCCCTCATTAGCACCTGCAAGTCAGCTGGTGCCCGGTGCACGGTCAGGTATCTCTGCTGTGCGAAGTGTGTGTCAGCCATTTTGTTTACCCATGCTTATTTTCTCCATTTCGTAAAATTAATTGCACTTAATGGGGGAGGTTGATCGTGCTGAATTATTTTAAGCCTGGAGGGAGCAGAGCAGCTGTGTCCTGGATCAGACCACTGATCTATCTAATAGGCTGTCTTGCCTCCTGATTCACAGGACGAAATGTGCGTAGCCAATTATGTGAATTCCTATGTGAGAGAAAAATGACCTTGAGCCCCCGTGAGCCAGACCGTTGCTTGATGCAGAGTGTGAACCAGAGCTGCTTCACTGCCATGGCCCAACAGGAATGCAGGGTAGTGCTAATCCCTAGAAAATTATTTCTCCTTAAAAAAAGAAATGGCCACTGTGTGAAATAGTTGACTCTTTCACAACTTGCCAAGAACTTTGCTTTTGGAACCAGGTGCTTAGAAATGAGTATTTGGGGGTGTAGCCTCTAAAGATTTTAAGAGAGAGCAAAATCCCCAAGCTTCTCCCATGTGTTCAGATGTAACCTGTTGTTATAAACTTTTTTTTTAAAGTGAAAACTGTTAGAGAAAGGCAAATATAAAAATAAAAAATTTGAAGAAGTGTACATTGAATATGTTCTAAGACTCTGTCTTTACTCTTTTTTGGGGGTCATGTTTTGCTGAGACAGAAGAAAATTAGAAGTGTTATAAGCTAACTTTACTGGGTATTCTATTGGAAAATTTTTTTATAATCAAATACATTCTCATGCACTGGCTGGTGTAGCTCAGTGGATTGAGCGCGGGCCTGTGACCTAAAAGATCGCGGTTCGATTCCCCGTCAGGGCACATGCCTGGGCTGCAGGCCAGGACCCAGCAGGGGCCAGTTCCCAGCAGGAAATGCACCAGAAGCAACCATACATTGATATTTCTCTCCTTCCCTTCCCTTCCCTTCCCCTCCCTTCCCCTTCTCCTCCCTTCCCTTCCCTTCATTCTAAAGATAATTAAATAAAAAAATACATTCTCATAAAATATCAGATTTTTTAAAAAAGATAAGTCGGAACACAAAAAAACAAATAACCCTTAATACACTCTTGGAGTCCAAGTTCATGGTTTTAATGTGACTCTGCCAGCAACAGGACTGCCCTGAGTAGATCACCCATGGTGTGTAGCACAGTGGTTTTCAACTGATGTGCTGCAAGAATGTTTACCATATGCAGCGCCTGACTTTGTAGTCAGAGGCACTGACTTCTTTCCCCTACACTGTCAAATAAAAAAATTGCAGCTGCCAACACAACGAGAGCTGTCTTGTGTGCGTGAAACAAAATTATACCTATGTTTTTTGTTAGATCAGCAAAAAAATTCAGGGGGTGTGCCAGAGAATTTTAGTAAATAGTTTATGTGTGCCACCAGGTGAAAAAGGTTGAAATTGCTGGTAGAGTGGGAAGAACTTCTCCCTTGGGATCAGCCAGCTCCTGGTTTTGATCTGTGGCTCTGCTACTGCTAGTTCTATGACCTTGGACGTGTAATTGCGTACTCTTAGCCAGGCTCTTTGTCATAGTCCTCTGTTGCTCCAAGACTCACCTTACAAAACCCGTTTTAGAGATTAAATAAAATAAGCTACAGAAATAATTGTGTAGGGTCTAGGATATATAGTTGTGGTGGTTCCCTTTCTTTTCTTCTGATTACGTCCTAGGATCAGTATTTTTTGAAATGTAATGTACTGTTAGCCTTGGGAATCACTATGGAGAACATCTAAAATACTTCATTCTCCAGATAATGAAGTCTAGACCCAGAAAGGGAGAATGTCGTGCTTGCACTGCCTTAGAATAGGAGTAGCAGAGCTGGTGCTAAAACCGTGTGTCCCTGGATGCTTCCAGTGTTCTCCAGGAAGCAGGACGGCTTACCATTGTGAACCGAGTCCCTGACATGGCTCCAGAGCAGTCAACTCCAAGGCCAATCTTAATAAACAAACAGCTTTCCAAAATTGCCTGTAGGTAGACAGAGATGTGTACTAAAACCTTACTCTACTGTTTTCTTCTGTAACTTTTGTACATTCTTGCAACTTTTGACTCAGTTTCCCTTTCTCTCCTAGCACTTTCAGGGGACGTCAGAAGCGCCAACACCCGCAAGTTCAGGTAAGAGACTCTCTGGATGGAGAAGATTTCCAGATAAAGGATTGCACTGATTCCCTTTGTGGTTATAACCTGGTGCTTGCTCTTTGCTGGGCTGTCCCAAAATGCCAATGGTCACTGTTCTTGTTCTTCTCTCCTTGCCCCCGGGTAGGGGGAGGCTAGGTGCGTGACAGATGTCAACTCTGTCCTGTTAGAATTTTTTTCAATGCATATCTCTTAAAGATAAGAGCTCATGTTTTTTTTGAAACATAAATACTATTTTCACACCTAAAACAATAGTTAACTATAATGCCTTCAAATCAAATATCCAGTCTTTATTTACTAACTCCTATTTGAGGGATGGATACTGGGAAGACAAATCTCTTAGGGATGCATTCTACAACATGACAACTCTGTGTACACCACTGTGCTGTTTGGTGTACTTGAATGTTGTTAAGAGAGTAGATTCCAAGAGTTCTCATCACAAGGAAAAAACATTTTTTCCCTCATTTTTCCCCTTTTTGTACCTATATGAGATGATGGATGTTAACTTACTGTAGTAATCATTTTACAATACATGTAAGTAAAATCATTATGTCATACACTTCAGGTTTATACAGTGCTGTATGATAATTATATCTCAGTAAAATTGGGGGGGGGGATTAAAAACACATTTCTGTTTGGTATTTCCAGTATTTGAAGGTGCCAGAAGTGTAGTCTAGAGCACTGATTCTTAGGTGTGGTCCTGACATCAATATCACCAACATCTTTTGGAAACTTCTTAGAAATGCAAATAGCTGGAACCCCCCCCCCCCCCCCCCCCACCATGGATTGAATCAGAGACTCAAGGGTGAGGTGTTTTAACAAGCCCTCCAGGTGATTCTAATGTATAGGAGGGTTAAGGAACCACTGGTCTAAAGGAAACCGATATTTGATGCTCACTGCACACCCTGTTTTACACCTGTCTTTGTGTTATACACTGCAACATATCCTGAGACACTCAAAATACTTGCACCTGGATCACTGTGATATACTAAGAAATATATATATATATAGGTCTTTGTCTCTGGTTCCTGGCTGAAGTTCCTAAAACCCCTGTAATTTCTTAAGGGCAATAGGCATACCTTTTGTTTTAATACTTGATTATTGTCCCTAGCTCTTGAAAGATCTCTGGAGTGATAAAAGTGAGAAGACCATCTTTTGTTAATCCAAACAAGCCCTTTCCACCACACCTGAATTTATGTTAATGATTGACTTTTGGAGGTCCCAAAATAAGAGGTCTGGTTGCCATGGAAACCAGCCCTGTGCGGTTACAGGATTGAAACTTTTGGCCCCACCCCCTGATCTGTGAGAAGGGTAGAGGAGCTGGAGACCCAGTTAATCACCAGTGGCCAATGATTTAATCAGTTTTGCCTACCTAATGAAGCTGCCATAAAAACCCTGTAAGAAAGGTTTTGGAGAACTTTCCGGTTGCCCTGGGAGGGAGGGTCATGTTCTTGGAGAGAGCAGAGAGGCTTCCTATACCTTGCCCAAGGGATCTGTTCCCTCGGGCTCTTCCTGAGTCCTGCCCTTTCTGACAAACCAGTAATCTGGTAAGTAAACTGTTTTCCTGAGTTCTGAGAGCTGTTCTGGTAAATTACAGAACTGGAGGAATGGAGTGTGGAAATTTCTGATTTACAGCTGGTTGGTTGGTCAGAGGTACAGGTGACAACCTGGACCTGCAGGTGGCATTTGAAGGACTGAGCCCTTATCCAGTGGGGTCTGTACTGAGTTTAGACAGTGGGTGTCAGAAATGAATGAAATTGGGTCTTTCCATGTCTGTGGATTGGACAGTTGGAGAATTACTTGGTGTCCAACAACTCCCCACACATCTGTGTCAGAGGTGTCGTGTAGAGGAAAGTGGGAGTTTCAGGTATTTAATGACCAAGATGGAGTCAAGCTTTCCTTGCCTTGCGGGGCCTGTCCCAAGTGTTCCTGCACCACCAACAGCAGGGGGCCTGCGACTCAGCCTGCTGCACACGTGGAAGGAAGCCTGCGTGCTACGGGGGCGTGCAGGTGGGGGTCAGGACCAGGGCTTTCTGGGACAGGACAGACTGAGTGAAATTAGAGACCTAATTTACTTAATAGATAGATTAGCTCCTTTATTTAAAAAAGAGCAGACAAGCATACCTCGGAGATACTGTGGGTTTGGTTCCAGATCACTGCAATAAAGCAAGTATGGCAATGAAGGGAGTCATAATCTTCCCCTTCCATTTGTAAAAAAGAAACATCTGTGAAATGCAGGAAGGCAATGTGCAATAAAATGAGGTATGCCTGCACTTCTAAAGGGGTTCTCAACTACTCACCCCACAGTAGGATTCATGTGGGTGGCTTAAAAAAAAACAACAAAAAACACTGGTCACCTGGTCTGACTCCAGGAGACTCCAGTTCCAGTTGAGTTGGGGGTGGGTCCCAGTATTAGCATTGCTTACAGGCTCTCCAGGTGATTCTAACTATAGTCATGGTTCAAAACCACCAGTTAAGACCTGTGTTTGGTTTGAGATGACAAATTAGATGGAAATAGTTTGAACTGTGCTTCTTAGTCTATTAGTAACCAGCTGTGGGGGAGTGTTAGAATTTCTGTTATCTCTAGCTTTATCTGTTGCTTTGTTTTCAGCTGGCGCAGAAAGGTTGCACAGTATTTCTGGCCAGTTCTAGGTAAGGCAATTTGGCTACTCTTTGTTTACTCGCCTGTAGGTGTCTTGGGTGGGGGGAAGGATATGTGTTTCTATAGCTTGCACGTGACCTCCCACCTCCCCTCCACAGCTTCCTTTCTGTAGGTGGGTACAGCTCCAGGGAGGGAACTTCCAGAGACTGATGATGGTATTGTGCATTTTGCAGTGAGAGGCATTTTAATTTTTCTAAGACTATCAGTGGGACCAGAGCCTTCCTTGCAGTCCCAAAGTTAAGGAAAGGAAAGAATGAGCCGGATTTGTTGGTTGAGTGGTGAAAAATTCCATGGAAAAAGGAAAGGGAAACAAGTTTACCACTGGTTTTTCTTGGCAGGTTTTATCACCTTTCCCCCCAAGTTTCTGGCAAGTGTGATTAGAAATTGACTTGCAGGATTTGCTCACACAAGCTTCCCAAGACATCTTTTGCTTGCTTGCTGCTGACTAGCAGTAGTTAATTTGCTATCTCTCACACGTGTTATCCAAAAATCACAGAACTCATTAGAAATAAACAGCATGAACTTGGTCCTCACATTTGGGGGATTAGCCAGATGTAAATCTAAATCGCACTTGGGAGGTTTCATGGGCCTCATTTAAAAATAAATAGAACTCTAGCCTTGAGTAGAAACAGATTTTTTTTTTTAAATGAAATATCTTACTGGAAAACAAATTTTATTTTTTCAATAAAAAATATGGGGAGGAGGTAAGCTTCTCCGGATGCCAATGCTTATTTTATTTCATGCCCTTCCCTTCTCCTTGCTGATGGCAGATGTGGCAGAAATAAAGACCCAATTTCATTTTCCAAAATGGGAAAAATTTAATCAATTCAGGAATGTGTTCTTAATTGACAGCAGACGTTTAAAACCTGATTGGTCACAGTTGACAATCTGATGTCTTTTAGGAAAATAAATGTACATTTATGTATGTCCCAAACCATCCTGTGGACTCATCACTACTTTGCTGGGTTATTGACGTGTTGGCCTTGAGGTTCTCTGATTCTTAGAGCTTTAAAAAAACATTTATCACCAAGAGAAACTGAAAGCGCTACTTTTCATGTGATTACAATATATGACTTATGTGATTAGAAAATTTCTGTTTTCTATTAATATGCAAACTTGCTGCCAGCAATAGCAAATATTCATCTGCCACCTGTTTTTAATTCCAGCAAAACCTACAATCAGAATGAAATTAAAAATACCTTACCTTTGAAGAATCAGAAAAATAATTCATATTTATTGAAACATTTTGTGTTTATCCTTCCAGATCACACTAAATCAGATGAGTACGCAAATGCCAAAGGGCTGACTCTTACCAAGGAGAGATTGTTTCATGCAGACGCATGAGCTGAGTTAAAGATCTGCTAAGAATTCCCAGAAGCTGATTGTGATATCAACACTGTTTCTAGCGCTTCCCAACCTTAACAATTATATATCACACTACCCTCTGTTTTCTATTGGCTTATTTAAAAAATGACTATTTGTAACCTGTCCTAGTGCAGCCTCTGCTTTATCAAAACCAGTCCAGGACAGCCAGCTCTGCTGTCCATCTTTCTGCCTATAAAGCATTCATTCATTCTCTATTTCTGTTCAACCTTGAGATCAAATTTAGTGTATATTTCTACTCTTTTCTAGGGGACAAAGATAGTTTGCCCGGTGAGCTTTTATTTAGTGTTTCAAAAGAAATGGATGGTCAGATCTGCAGCAGACTGGCTTTTCGGGGTTCACTCCAGAGGGGCTCCTTTTTGAACTTACCTCACTGACGGTGTGTCACGAGGGATGTGGTAGTAACAGAAAATAATTTACTGATCTTCCTTACTTCTGAAGAGCTCCTCCTCCCTTGAAAGCACTTTGATAGGCAGGCACTGTAACATTTCAATAAGTAAGGCTGCAGGGAAGGGGAAAGAGAAAGAAAGAAAGAGAAGTGAAATACCAGAAGCAAATAGTCCTATCTGTATTCACATCATGTCCATAGGACCTGAAAAACGGGTATCGAAGTGGCAGAACCAGACCGCCTCTTCGTTCCTACCAACTAATTAAATGTGTTTTCACTTAAAAAGGATAACAATGTTAGATCTTAATGGGATTAACCTAACTGAAATTTATTAGGAATTGCTTTGACAGTAAAGATTATGGATGGCTCAAATTCCATTTTGAGATGGGAGCTTTGATTCTTGTAATTTTTGCTCTAGCCGCTCTGCTGAAGACACCCAAGTTACCAAACATGACTGCACGGTTGTGTGAGTGAGACCTAGAATATGAGTAGTGTGTGAATATTTTTCTCTTTAACATTTTGTGAGGATTAATTTCTACTCTATTT